GAGGAGCGGCTGGAGAGCTGCCTGGCAGAAAAGGACCTGGGGGTGTTGGTCAACAGCCAGCTGAATATGAGCCAGCAGTGTGCCCAGGTGGCCAAGAAGGCCAATAGCATCCTGGCTTGTATCAGAACTAGTGTGGCCAGCAGGACCAGGGAAGTGGTCATCCCCCTGTACTCAGCATTGGTGAGGCCGCACCTCGAGTACTGTGTTCAGTTTTGGGCCCCTCACTCCAAGAAGGACATCGAGGTGCTGGAGCGTGTCCAGAGGAGGGCAGCGAAGTTGGTGAAGGGTCTAGAGCACAAGTCTTACGAGGAGCGGCTGAAGGAACTGGGGTTGTTTAGTCTGGAGAAGAGGAGGCTGAGGGGAGACCTTATTGCTCTCTGCAACTACCTGAAAGGAGGTTGTAGCGAAGCGGGGGTCAGTCTCTTCTCCCAAGTAACAAGTGACAGGACAAGAGGAAATGGCTTCAAGCTGTGCCAGGGGAGGTTTAGATTGGATATTAGGAAAAATTTCTTCACCGAAAGGGTTGTCAAGCCCTGGACCAGGCTGCCCAGGGAGGTGGCTGAGTCCCCCTCCCTGGAGGTATTTAAAAAATGGGTGGGTGTGGCGCTTAGGGACATGGTTTAGCGGTGGACTTGGCAGTGCTAGGTTAACGGTTGGACTCGATGATCTTAAAGGTCTTTTCCAAACTAAACGATTCTATGATTCTAATAGGAAGTAGGAATTACGTAGGCTCAGCTGAATATGCTGGAAAGTATGGGTCATCTCATAACAGCCTCATGCTTGAGGGATAAGAAATGACCCATGTAAAAAAAATTTCCTCATACAGCTTATTTCATTTGAATGTTCTTCAGCTAGGTCATGACAAGACATGGGATGACTGTTCGAAAGTGGAATGACTTTCACCACAATACGTTCTCACACAGTGCTCCACCTGATAACTGCTATAGTATTTACTTGTATAAATTTTGTAAAACTAAGTAGCTACAACCATTTTAATTTCTCACCTGATCTCTTTCTTACTTGTCCATTCTGTATCTCTTGCAGTGCTGTGTGACTGCTTTGAAGTGGAGAACCTTACCAGTTCCAGGGAGGAGAGGATTGAAGGTAGTATAATTTGGATTTATGGAGGGAAAGGGGAAAGTAGTATATATTTGGCACCACTTCTGGTGTGAAAATGATAACTGGAAGACAATCGTTTTGCCTTTTATGGTGTGTGTGTAAGATGTTAGTCAGCAGCACTACAGGTCCTTTATAGGAAACATGCACCAAAGTATTTTTTCCGGTAGCTGGTATAAGTAGCCCTGGCCTTGGCTGCTTGTTTCTTGCTCTAGCATCATTCCCCTGCACAATGCTGAAAAAAGAGGTATATGGCCACAAGGATCCTATAAAGGGAAAAGAAAATACCTCCAGAGGTCATGGCCTCAGCCAGGTTTAGAACTATTGCCACTAGATGCCAGTCCACACCCTGAGTCACCAGCTGGTGAGATCATTTTGAATGCTGACAAGGTAGATGCATCCTGTGTCTGTTCATTCCCTGTCCTCATGGCTGGGGTTGATAATAGCAGCATTAACATCGGAGAGGAGATTAGTGATGTGGACATCTGTCTTTTTTGAAACAAAAATTATACTATGAACTTCATAGGCAATCTTTGCTTCTCTGTGCAAAACCAAGTTTTTGCTGCTGGAGTTTTGGGGCACTCCAGCATGAGAACTGGGGAAGCATTTCCAAGATGAGTGAGTGGTTTGAGCACTACACATAGTAGTATATGTTTTATTTCCTTTTGGCCTACACAAGATGATAACTGATGACCCAGAAATTAAAAAACTGTGTTCTGTCACCCATCCTCTGAAGTAATTTATCCACCAGTGATATCCAGACTTAGTAAATGTCTTGAAATATCTGAGAACAGATAAGAAATAACGACAGCAGTTTTAATCTGTAGCGGTGGAGCTTCTTACTAGAATTTCTGAATGTGTATTTTTAAACACAGATATTAAATATACTTATTTCTTATTATACATTTGCCAAGCAAGATTGACTGTCTGAAAGTGGAATGTAAACCTAGTATGGTGACAGTGGACTCTGCTTCTAGAAATAGAGTTAGGAAAACAGATTTACTTATTCTTTTGTGCTTGATCATTGAAGAAGAGAAGCATTAACCATGAGAGAGAGCCTGTTCTCTTTTCTGGCATCGTCTGTTGACAACACTGAACCATATTCCCTCACCAGAGTCCTTGCCAAAGATGCACTGCTAATGTTTTAACAAGAGCTTTCATGAATGGGCTTAGTACCTCAAAGGTACATACACTTGGAAGAGAAGAGTAGCTTAAAAAACATTTCTTTAAACAAAATGTTCTTTATAAATATTTCTAGTGGAGGAAAGAGGCATGATATAAGGGATGTATTAATTATTGCAAATGATACCACATGGTGAACAAAATTTATCAAACTGCTTTTATCTGAAAATATTTTGAACATTTTTTTCCCTAGAAAACATACCAAAAATATTGATGGGACAGGGTAGTCAGCTTGTGTAGCTAAGGGAGGTTACAGCTATAAAAAAATTTCCAAATGTCTTTTGTTTAACAATATGTTCAGTTCATTCAGTTGAAAATATTCTCCTGTGTCACTTCTATGAGTTTCAGTGGTGATAAATTTATAATGGGACTAATTTGCTAGTGTTCGGAGGAAGGCTTCCACAGCACCCTTTGTAGACATGCTAGAAAAGTTACTTGAAGGGAGCATCAGGGACCATCAGAAGCCACTCCAGTTCGTCACTTGACTTCTGTTTCACTTTCATGATTAGACTTAGGAATAGACTTCTGAAGGTTAAAGCCTGCAAAAGAAGACAGCTGGCCTTGCTGGTTTTTCAGAAGTGCCTCCCAATGAAATGAGAGGGAGTCTCTGAAAAGTCCACTAGGAGCTACTTGTATTTTTAGACTTCTTGGGAGCTGTACAGACTTATAAATGGAAATTTGCATTTCAGGTGATTTGAAGACATTTTGGACACAACTGGGAGGTAGAAGAGTGGACGTCATATTTGAGCAGGTGCAAAATGTGCTGCTGTTGCTAAAGCAAAAGATCAAGAATGGAACTGCCACAAACCAAGGTTTGAAATCCTTGTAATGGTTAAGCTGGACTGCAGGGGAGCTGTGGCCTGCTTTGTGTAGGGCTGTGTGATATCTGCCACAATTCAGATACCTCTGAATTTAAATTACTTTAGTAGTTGGCATTTTTAAGCACTTTTAAAATATATCTGCTTTTTTTAAAAAAAAAGGTGCATTTTGCCATTTTCTCGTTTTGCCTGCATACTTTTTCAAACACTGTGTGGCTCTTAAGCACATGGAACTGAAATGTTTATTCTTGAGAAGTAATGAAATATCTGCAGTGCCTTGTGTTTTGTTCATCGTCAGAAGTTTTAGCCTTTCAAGCTGATCTCAGAGAACTGAATGGTTTTGGGGTGCGATTATAATCATATAAGTATTATTTCATGTCAGAGACACCGTTATAACTTGAAACATTAGTAGAAAAATGTGACAGCAATGCATTTAAGATTGTTCCTGATTTTCATGGAAATAAGTTCCCTTTATCTACATCAAAATCAGAAGTCTGATAAGCCTGGAGCAGTACACAGGTTTCTTTTTACTGCTTTATTTAATTCAGAAAGATTACTTTTTTTTATTAAGTCACCCATGTAAATGAAGTCTATGGATCTTATTGCTTTTTTTGTGCAAGAAAACGTACAGCAGTGTAAGATGCTTTTAAACTGGTATAGCCACACACTCTGCATTGTACTGCTTGCTCTAAATTGGTAGCACAATTTTTTGTGTACTTGAGCTCCCACATCTTGATTTTTATGACAAAATATTACAGCAGTGCATAGGTAAAAGTTGAATTTGAATCCCCAGATGACACAATGAATCTGTGACGTAGTTAAATTTGAATTTTTCTGTGCTTTGTTCTGTAAAGATTTCAAACTAAAGTATTAGCATGGATTTTTCTGACATTTGTCTGACACCTTGTAGTATTTATTGCATGTGGTAAGAGGTTGAGACAGAACTGGTCTCTCCTTTGTGTTCTTACTATCTGAAGGCCATTTCCACCATTTTAGGAGTAGCATTAATTTGGTCTGCCAAGATCCAGCCCTTCTTAGCTGGAAGATGACTAGTCTGATGACAAAGTAAAGAGAGCAACTTACACTAAATTGTGTTTGTGTATATTACTGCTACTGGAGGTTACTGGTTTGTGTGTGTTTGGAAACATTCCAGCAGCTTTCCAAAAGCCGGAGGATGTTTCGTGCTGATTCACAACTACTAGCATGAGCTGTAATTTTATTGTAATTTGTAGATGTGTCTATTAAGGACTGGTGAAAAAGGTTTCTAATAGTATGAATCTTGCAATGCTCTAGATTAGCATACTGAGGAAACAAGTGTCTCTGGAGGCCTTACACTTTGTTTCCCCTTTTAGTAGTCCCTATTATCATTGTCCCTATTATCATTACTTAAATGACACTTCATATCTGTTTTGTTTTGGGTTTTGCCATAGAATGCTGGCAGGCTTGGGCACTGGTGAATGAAGCTAATCTAGGTGATCTCTTAACCTTGACAAATGGTACGTGCATGTCAATTGTATTTATTTGGTATATGTATTTAATTTGTCTTGTTTTACTCACCAGGACCTTATTTCCCTTTGTTGAAATCAATAAAATGGATCTGAGAAGCCTGTTAGCATTACAAGGGAAAAAACATAATTATTAGTGTCCTCAGGTACTGGACTGTGGACTCTCACCTGGATCTGTACTTTTGTGGTTTGTGTGTATGTGTATATGGCTTGTACCAAGCGAAGAGAGTTTGAGCTAGTAAGCCCTGATGAACCCGAGCTGGCTGCAAGCAGAGTCATCTTGTGCCAGATTGACCAAAGGGATATTCCATACCATATGACGTCCGCTCAGTAATAAAAGCTGGGAGAAAGCAGGAGGAGTGGGGGCATTCATGGTTTTACGGCGTTTGTCCTCCGGAGCAACTGCTAGGCATGCTGGGGCCCTCCTTTCTGGGGGGTGGCTGGACATTGCTGCTGATGGGAAGTAGAGAATAAAATCTTTTTGTTTTCCTTTTGCTTTCCTGCGCATGACCTTTGCTTCTGCTTTGATGAAACTGTCCTTATCTCGACTCACGAGCCTTTCGTTATATTTCCTCTCCCCTGTCCAGCTGAGGAGGGGGAGTGATAGAGCGGCTCTGGTGGGCGCCTGGCGTCCAGCCAGGGTCAACCCCCCGCAGCATGGCTCCACTCGCTGTCATACCCTGGCATCCTTTTACCTCAAATAACGAAGAGAAATCTGTATGTGTGTTTCATATGTGTCGTGTCTCAATGCACTTTGAAAGCTACATGGAAGATTGTAATGTGCAAATCACCTGATGGTCTGTGAAAAGGGGCATTTCTGCCTCAAGTTCGTCAATGCGCACCTAAGTTTTTCCCCTTTGGGGAAAGGGAAGGAGGGAAAGAGAGAGAGAGAGGGAGGGAGAGGAGGAGCAGGAGAGAAAGCGTGACAGTGTGTGTTGTGTGTCAGCTAGTCAGTCACTTGCACACCTACACACAAACACATGACTTTTTTAACAGTTATAAAAAGCAGCTTGGTTTTTTAGTAGGGCACTTGCTAGCATACTCTTTGTTAGCTGTAGTTCATAGCAATGCGTTGTTTTTAATGTATTTTGGCAATTATCTCTTTAGTAACTAAAGTAAGTTTGATTATAAATTGAAATGTGGATTGCTGAAGTTTTTGCTTGCGTTCAAATTTTTTCAGTAAGTGATGTGTTTGACGGAGATGGCATACAGGAAACCAAACCCAAACTGCAGCGTCTTCTTACAAATGGGAACACTGCAAACTCTGTAGAAGGTTCTCACAGGTCAGTGCATGTAATAGCTTATTCCAGTTCCTTATTTGACATATTCATTAGTGCATTTGAGAGATTTTAAACCCTCTCTTCTATTTCTAAATTCAAAGTTTTAAACCCAGTTTTGAATCCTGACAATTTTCAAAGTGAAAATATTTTTACCTTGCCCTACATGCAAAACCTGAGGTTTTGAGTAGACTTGTCTAATTTACCACGTGAGAACATTGCAGAATAAAACAGGGCATTTGGTTGTGAATAAAGATCCATAAGTATTGCCAGGATTATCAGGGTTAGTTCTCAGGCTTTCACAGACTGTGCAGATTGTCAGGCACATGACTTAGTCTCTCTGTATTTACCCTCAGATACTGATTTGGAAGATGGGGGTAAAGATATCATTCCTTTCTTTCCTTTTTTTTTTTTTTTTAATGTCCTTTCTGTGTTTTAGTATGTAAGTTCTTTCTAGGAAGAAGCTGTTGCCTTTTTTGTTTGTTTGTTTTTTGAATGCCACTGAACATGTCTTCATATGACGTTAGGACAGTAACACAATGCAAACAGTGATTCAGTGAAACCCTTGAACTTCTAGCAATGGGCTGTTTCTTCCCCATGTTAATAACATTGAACCACTAAAAACCTGAGCGTTTTACTGGTTGTCTAAGCTGCTGCTCTTTTTTCTTTTTTTTTCTTTTTTATTCCAAATAGCAAACAGGAGGAGATGGAGAAAACAGGTTCAGGGAGTAAAGAAGCATCTAGTAAAATTCAAGATTTACCTTTAAACCTGCAGTATCAGAACCACAAGTGCTCTAGTGCATGTCTTGCCAACAGAGCAGCGGGCTCCTACAAGGGTGAAAATCCTCTTAAGATACCAATCCTGTTTCACTTTCAAAGACGCCATGCAAAAGCAGACTGCCTTTCAAAAACACTGGATGTGAATTATAAAGCTCCTTGTGGCCGAAGTCTGAGAAGCTTCCAAGATGTGCAAAATTACCTATTTGAAACTGAGTGCAATTTCTTATTTGTTGATCACTTCTCCTTCAACACATACGTACTGTTGGGCAGGAACACTGTAAATCCCGAACCCCTCGTGTTTGATTTTGATATTAGCAATGGAGCCGAGTCTGTGCCCGTCTCCTTCTGTAATGATCTTGACCGCGCAAGATTACCTTATTTCAAGTATCGGAGGGCATCGTGGCCGCGTGGATATTATCTCAACAATTTCTCCAGCATATTTGTTGATTCATGTGACTGCACAGATGGCTGCATTGATAGGTAGGTAGAAAAATCTAATTCCAGACAAGTGACGCGCAATGCCTCAATAGTAGGGTGGTGGTGTAACTGTGAAGGTGCGCAGCACCAAACAGTGCCAAATAACGAAGGACCAGCACTGCTGGAATATCTGTGGTCGTTGTCTTGTGTCCTCCTCTGACACCACTGTGTCTTTGTCTTCTCCAGAACTTGGGTGTTCCTACCCATCCAGCCTCTGTTGTAGGGAAGGAAGCGATCAACAGGTGGATTATTGTGTTCCTTTCCCTTTCTTCCCAAACTGGCAGTGCTTCTTCTCCAAGTGGAGCTGGCAAGCAGATCTCTCAGCTTTGGGAAATTTTGAGTGGGGAAGGGAGACTCTTGTGCCAGCAGAGGAAGGCTCATTTTCCTGGCAGGCAGGGAAGGATCCTGCATGACAACTTCTGCTGCAGCTCCTGCTGTGGGATGGTATCCTGGAGATGGGATGGGACAGCCTGAAGAGATCAGATCATTTGGGACTTGGGAGGTTACTGAGGGCAGAGGAAGAAACCTCCCTGTTCACAACCTCTACATCCCATCCTTCCCCTTGTCTAAACAGAAACTATGAAACTCTGTGGTCACAGAACACATTTATGTTCTGAGCAGTTCCAATGGTGTTGCTCACCACTGTCTTTTTCTAAAGACCGGTAACTCTGGGCTACATATTACTCTGTGGGAACCTGCCACTGTTAACGTATGCAAGTTTGGTGATGATTTTGTCTTGCTTTCTTGAAGGGTGTTTGCCTTTGACCTGATCTCTACCTGTAGGTGTTACTTGGTTTTGAATCCATTTTGTATTATTGATAGCTAGGGCAGTTGCATGTGCTGGTGTGCAGTGTAATTGCCCGTGACCCAACAAAAGCTTGAAATCACATCCTGGTATAGTGAAGCTTCAGTAATTAAAGTTATTTAGTTTCAGTTGAGCGGTGGGGAACAGCAAGCACATAGCATGCTGCCTCTTTGCAGTGAACTTCCCCAAGAGTTGAGATGCTTTTGATGTGCGGTTTTGGGGTTCAGGATTTGGTCCATTGCAGTTTGCACAGCCGCTGTGGGTCTTTGGAGTTGTCATGACAGAAGATGGTGAAGACCAGCATTATTGCTTGAGGTCTCCAATCTGCAGTGTCAAACTCTTCAGTTCCCGGGGGCTAGGGTGGGAGGAAGGTAACGACGTAGTGGCTAACAGGCTGGGATGCTCTGCCAGAATAGGTGATTTTTATTCCTTCATTCAATCCATTTGACAGTGTCTTGTTTATAATAAATTTCTGTTGTACTTCAGCTGTTGACATGTGCCTTTTACAGAGCTTGGCAAAAGAATGGGGTTGGGGTGGAGAGAACATGATTATTGTAAAGCACAAATAACCAGGCAAGAGACAAAGAGAAGGGTAGGGTACCTGAAATGGCCTTGTGGAGTAAAAGTGTTGGGGGGGGCGGAAATAGGTATACATAAAAGTGTGTATGTGTGTGTATAGTCAAGTACATTTTAAATTATCTAGGTTTATGTTTGATTTACGCTGCCCCAAATACATTCTGAGATGTTTTACTGTTATCTTCTAGGTCAAAATGTGCATGCCTACAGCTAACTGCAAGAGGCTGTAGTAAAATTTCTCTGTCTTCAAGTAGTAAAACATCCCGTGGATACAGTTACAAAAGACTGGAGGGACCTGTTCCTAGTGGGTAAGAAAGACAGAACTTATTAACTGTTATTTTATTTGTATGCTCTTATTTGACTCCTGTAGTGTAAGTGCTACAGGACTAAAATAATTACAGTTTCTGGATTACTGAAACCTTCCATTTTTGTCACAATTTTAGTGACAGATCAGGATGATAACAAATAATTAATGTGACTTGAGTAGTAGGAGAGGGAAAAACACTTCTGTACTGCGGATATTACAATTTTCACAGCTTAGTTCCAGGTCCAAGAAGAGTGTGAAGAGTAACATAGTATTAGCTGGTCCAGGAGCTCAGGCCATATCTGGCCCATGTGCTGGTACGTTCAGGCATGCCACGGGGAGAAGGGAGAGGAAAAGGAAACCTGCCACAAGGGAAGGAGGTCTGTCGCAAGACCATTACAGCGTATATCAGCCAAAGAAGTGGGAAGCAGTAGCCACATCTTCTCCATCCATTTGCTCTGTAGGACCAGAGTCCTAAAGAAGTATCAGCCAGCTGCTGTTGCCAGACTTGGTTATGTGTGACTCTTCCAAGAGTCTCCAAAGCCGTCCCAGTGCTGCAAGTGTTCGCTCTTTCTCTTATTCAGGTCCCGTGGATCAATATGTGGCCTGGGGAAGGTGTCAGTAACGTCAGTTGTTTAGGAGAGGAATTGTGCAAGGTAGCTTTCTGCAATAGCCAAGGGCTGAACCCAGAGGCTTAAGGAGCCCCTTTCAGTCCTTTGTTGCTGTGTGATGTTAGTTTATGGTTGGCATGCAGAATTAAAGCTGCCAGTGAACCCAGAAACAAATCCAAAAATAGCACAATTGTGAATTCTTTTAGAAATATTTACTTAAATCCTAAAACTCATGACAGCTACAGTGAGGTCCAGGCAGACAGGTTGTCTTTGCTAAAATCTGTTCCAGCATCAAATGAGGTGCTTCATAGGGATTTCTGCTTCTGTGTGATTTACTCCTATAAAATAAAAAGGTAGCGTTTATTTTTCTTGTCTACTTATACCATAATGTGGCTGACAGACTTTTAAAATTGATGAATCAGCAATCAAGAAAGTCGTGAGCTTCAGAGCACTGATGCACAACCAGTTTTAGCCAGAGTCTTTATCTTTTCAGTCAGCTGCCTTATTAATGCTCAGAAGGGAAATTAATAGCAACTTTGTTTTGGTAATGCATTATTTTATATTGTGTTTTGTTTTGCTTCCTCTTGACAGAATTTATGAGTGTAGTGTGTTGTGCAGGTGTGACAAGATGATGTGTCAGAACAGAGTTGTACAGCATGGCATTCAGGTCAGGTTGCAAGTGTTCAACACAGAGAAGAAAGGCTGGGGCGTCCGCTGCCTAGATGATATCGACAAGGGGACATTTGTGTGTACTTACTCAGGTAACAGAAAGTGACCTGTGGAAGATGTATAGCATAATTCTCCCTCTCCTGTGGCCTTTGCCCTGGAATTTTTTTGAGAACCAAACAGGGAAATATAGGGGTTGGAAGAGAAGTGAGTCAATATAACCTTAATTTGTAAGATGATCAAACGGGCTGAAGAACCTTGAAGAACGCTGGAATGCAGTGGTGCCAGACAAACAATCAAAACATTCTGGAGCAAAGCCTGTCTCAGACTGTTGGTTTTTCCTTCGCAGGTCTGTGCATCCTGTGCCAGAGCTAGTTTTCCTTCAGTATAAATGCATTCATATTTTGCTTTCCCAAATAATGTCCTTGTATTTTTTTAATGTAAATTTGAGCTGCGATAGTAAGTGTGACCCATCTTAGCAAACAATTAAAAAAAAAAAAAAATCTTTCCTTTTTTTTCCAGGCAGATTAATGAGCAGAGCTGAAGTTCAAATATTGGGAGATGCTGGTCAAAAGCTGAAAGAGAAGAGTGCTGTAAATGACAGAGGCCTTGGCTTTTTTTTCAAAAAAAGAAAACTTGACACTGATTCAGACTCTGTGATTGAACTAGTGCAGACTGGCAAAAATGACCTTCTTAAGAAGCAGGAATCTTTGTGTCAGACTGTGGATAATGAAAATAAATCAACCCTGTAAGTTTACCAAAGCAAACTTAAGCACAACAAAACTAATATTCTGCTATTCTAGAAAGTCCCTTGTAAATCTTAGAGTAGAACTGACTGTCCTCAGCTGAGGGTGGTGGGGTTTTTTTCTCAACTTTTTTGTTAATTCCTGATTATTTCTTTTAGTGGGACACCATTTTTCCTCTATATTAATTTTACTTACCGTGTGTACCACTTGGCATTTCCTAGAAATCCAGTTCATCTCCTGGGTGTACTTGATCTGTTCAGGGCATTAATCATTATGCTAATTGGAAAGAATTAATAAAAGGTGCTTGAGATAAATGATTTAAAGATACTTGATGACACCGAAGGGTTTGATAACAAATTAGCCACTAACCGTCCTGTCCTTTGCTCCCAGTCTCTAAACCTCTTGTTCTTTGTAACATAACCTTTCCTGCTAGGAGTCTTAACCTTTCCCGTCAGGAGTCTGACAACACCTTGCTTTTGCAGTGAATTATGCAAAAGTTCTGGTCCTGTTTTCATTTCGCACTCAGGGTCTCATTGCCTATCAGGATTCCTAAAATAAAATTACTTCAAAATAACCATGCTGTAGTCTTTTCAGAAGGAAGTCGGGAGCTTGTTTTCTTAAACTTTATTCCTTGCTCTGCCACACTACTTTGTAAACACTTTCTTTGTACTACTCAGAAATGATTGCAAATTCTTGCTCATTTCATACTAGAAGATTATTGTGGATCTTTGAGAAGCACCATGAAATTGCAAATGGAAACTTTTTAAAATACATGCCAGTATATTCTCACTTGCATTTCAGTATCTTGGAAACCTAATGAATTATTAACTTTGTAAATTACATAATTGTCAGCAATCAGCTAGAGTTTACTTCTACTAAGTGGTGTTACTAAAAATTGCAGGGAAGCACAGTTTTAAAGTTGCGTTTACTGCACTGCTACCTCAAATCTCATAAATTTCCTTTCCTGAGAATGAAAATATTTCGCATATAGGCTGTGTAAAAAATATGACAGACAAAAAGACTGTGTTATTCTGCCTCTCAAGAAATGACAATCCAGCTGATCCGAGAAACCTTCGAGAAGACATCAGTGTGCTAAGCTTGACATGTCATTCACCCGAACAGATTGCCATTAAAAGGACAAAAAATGTAATTACATAATAATGTCACGAGTTCTTGTGGCTACTGCACCTTTTGAATTTACAAAAGGGTTTAAATCTTAAGAAAGCCTTAAAGAGTAACATTTTTTGCTGTTGTTAGTAGCCCAAAGAAGTACCTTGATGGTTTTTGTGGCAAGAAAACACATATATAAATGTTTTAGGTTGAAAGTTTTCTTGAATAAGAGCTGTTACTTGTTGCTAGACATTGTACAGATATTAATATTAGTTTTGAAAGTGGTGTTTTCTACTGCACTCTGAACATAATCCAAATGAATGTGATTTTTAGATGTTTTAAATGTATATGCCAGATACTGCTTCCCATCCTTCCTCAACCTTCTCCTGATGTGAAGGAGGTTCTTTTGTGACTGTCTCTCTCTCTGTCTCCCTCTCTATCCTTTGTCCCTGCAACATCTTTGCTTTCCTATTTGAAAGCTGCACTGTCAAAACTGTTGAAAGTGGTAGCAGGAAAAAGGCAAAACTCTGTAGGCATTCTATTTTGAGATGATCTGATATAATAATAGTAAAACAACAGAGAATTTGGTTCTCGGCAGGAGAACTGGGAAAGGATGCAAAAGCAGCTGCTGATCTCTCAAAAAAGTATGAGCAACTGTTTTTTTACAAATACTATTGAGAACCTAACCTAGGTCCTCCATTCTTAAAGGCAAAATAGTCACAGAACTTGGGGCGAGGCCAGACTGTAGGCTCTCATGTAGTCTGTTCTTTATGAACTAGAGACTCTTAGAGAAATGTGTGTTGTGAGAGTTACTTATGGGTCTTTTTGTCTTTTATAATTTCCTTTTGACCTTTCCGTACAGGGTTCATCCAAGGAATTTAAGTATTGCAACTGCGAGAAGGCCTGGAACTAGAGCAGTTGTTTTTCATAATCACCAGCTAAAAATGGTAATAATAATAAGTGGCTTTATTAGATTCATTTTTCACTGTGCTGAATATGTATGTTAATTTTGACCTTTTCATCTTATACATTTAAATAGTTCTAATGATCTTTCTTCATGAGATTGTGTCACACTGTGAACTAAGCTGGCGTGCTGGAAGCTATACCCCATCCCTTCTCCATTATCAGTCCTTCAACATGTTCCCTGAGACCAGCACACACTGCTCTCACAGCCTTCCCTTCTCCACCCTCCACTTACACTCCAGCCTTGAGAGTCTTAAGAAATCATTCTTCCCCTCCACCCTCTGTTGTAACTAACTGCAGAGTTGGGGCGTTAGAGTGATAATATTTTTGTGATGTGTCCCCAAAGAATGACATAGCAGGGAGAGAAGAAAATCTCAGGAGTTGGACGCAGTTCTCTCATGCAGTGGCACAGTTGGGAGAACTTGATCTGACCTGGGAGTGAAGTGTTGCTTGCAAATACGTGCAAAGGAGGGAAACTGGGGTAAACTTACTCTGTGGGTTCTTCATTGCATTTAAGAAATGCATGTGGGATTTTCATGCTGACGTTCGGCAGTGCTGTCCATTCTGGAGTCTTTTTGTGGTGGGAGAGGAGAAATCTTGCCACTTCTGTTCATTTTATTGAAACTGTGTTTTTTACAACTTACACAAACGTTTAAATTCTGGTGAAATTGTTGGGACTTAAGCACGTACTTAAATGTTTTGTTGAGTGGGGAGCTCCTTCCAGGTTATTCTGAAGGATAATTTGAAATTAAGATAAATGTTGCATTGCAGTAAATGTATGGACTTTTGAAACTCAGCCATAGCCATGCATTACAGTAGATTTGAAACTTCAACCCTAGAGTCCTAAAACCCACTTGCTATCCTGTGTTGACCCAGAGTTCCATACAGCAACAATATATCACAGCCTTTTCATTATCTTTTATTCTGTTTAAAGGAAATTGATGCACTGGTGCACAGTGCCAGCTCAGATGAAGATAATAGTTCTCAGATTCATCAGTCAAGCAAAAGAAAACTAACCAGTGGAACAAAGAAACGAAACGAAAGTAGGTTTACAGAGCTATAAATACTGCGCTCTTAGCACACTTGTGCCCCATCAGGTGATAGACTTAAAATGTAGAAAGTGGTCTTCAGATGCGGGCAGGCCTGTTCTCGGAGTAGAATGATGTTGTCCGCGTAACACTTAGGCTGTCTTAAGAGAGCTGAGCGGTACAGAAATTATTGCTGCCTTGCATATTACAGTGCATTAACTGGTACCGGGCAATCTTTTGCCTGCAAAGTTGATCTTGGGACATGTTGAACAGTCCTGACAGCAGCTTCTCAAATACAGTGCAATTGTGGGAAAGTCAGTCTTGCAAATCTTCTTGTGTCACACCCAATACATGTTCTGGTCAACAAAAATGGAACAGGATGTAATGCAGGGGTGGGGCGGCCTCAAGCTGAAGAGGCAGTGTGAAACTGATGCTATTTGCACGTCATCTTGTTTCTGTCTTAATTACAGTTTGTGATTCTCTCGGGAATTAAGGTGGAGAATGATGATAAAATGCTATGTGGAAGAAATCAATTTGGAGTGGGATTTGAGAAGAAGGGAGAGACTAGGTCACTCGCAGGAGACTTGAGCAAGTGCTTTAGGCACTGCAGCAGGATACAGTCATTTGCAGGAGGATTGATGAGAGGCATGGAAAAGAGTAGTTGTGTTACGGACTTGTAAATAGCAAGGAAGCTGCATACATTTTGCAGAACAAAGAAGGGTGGGTGGATAAGAGTTCAGGGCCAAACAAAGGAAAGGCTTTGGCTTTAAACTGGCGTTGAACAATAACTTACGTGTCCGTTGACAGAATCCACTCAGCAGCAGAAGGAAGAACATCCGATGGAAATTGGACAGACCAAGTCTGCTGACGTGGACAGTGCAGAATGCAAAAGAAAGAGTCTGTCTCTGCAGGGCATTGATTGTGGCAAGTCAGGTGTGCTGGATGACACGTGTGTTGTGAGGCCATCCAAAAATGTACCGCTAAAAGCTGACTGCAAAGAAGGAAATCACAGGCAGTCAAAACAAGCTGCATTTTGTGAGGATGCTGATGGTGAGACGATGCTTCTGAAGAATGCTAATGAAGAAAATATTTATGTACTGGATGCCACAAAAGAAGGAAATGTGGGTCGTTTTCTTAACGTAAGTAAAAAGTTGCATGTGTTCTCTTAGTTGTCTTAGCTTAAATAAATAAATTGCGTATTTGCATAAACTAGAAGGCTTTTGCACATGAACCACATATGTGGTAGGTGCATGACAAGGCAGTCTGCATGGTGCTCCCTGCGCTCTGAAGTGACAGAACAGCAGGTTGGGTCACACCGGCTGCTAGTGCCTCCATAAGATGATGCATGCTGCATACTAGCTGTAGTTTTTGGCACCACTAGGTTCCTGAGTGAAATATTCCCCAGTAACGAGTGACATCTTTCTCCTGAATTTTTGAACAGCCTTTTTGGGGGTCCAGGGAGCAAATGGCACATTTTGTTGAACCACAAGCCTTCTCCCATCCTCGTTTTTTGTCCCCCAACCACTGTAAATTCTAGCCTGTGCTGATTTAGGATAAGTGTTGTGATATTGTAGGAAATTTCTCTACCATTCAGTCATAGGTTCAGAAAGTCTAACCTACTGTGTACATATCTGCTAAATAAGTCTCTCAATTTTGACTTGCCAAGAAATAGTAATGAATTACAAAGTACCCCCAACTAAGATGAATGTTTCATAGACATGTCTGCATGTAGTCTGCGAGTAACTTACTTCTCTTCATTGGCATGAATATGTCTCTTACAGCAAAATCCATGTATACGTTTAAGCTGTTCTTCATTGCAGAGGTAATACGGTGTTAAGATTAGTAGTGCGTCTTGCTGAAACCTTTCTTCTGCATCCATGACCATACACGTGTCCATACCTGCACCTGAACAACCTTTCACATCTCATATCTCTTTGCCAACATACACAATCATTTAATCTATTGCTTACTCCCTAGCACTGCTCCCCTAGCTGACAGCGAGATACATCTGTCGCATACTGATTATTTGTGGTGCATCCTGAATCAAAGATGAATTCTCACCATAAATTTCTGGAGAACAGCTTGATAAAAGAACTGGGTTTTCCTAGGCAAAAGTACTTTCATAATATAATGGAAATAATACTTTAGAGAGACATAGTTACTGCAAAAATAAGTGGCAATGGCATTGAGTAGTAGAGATTCTGTGTGGGCTGGAGAAGGGAAGGAAGAAATTACCTTTACTAGTGACAGATATCTGACACAAAATAGGTTTTTCAGCCAACGACAAGGTGTTTCACTGTTTCTAATTCAAATATTCTGTTTTACAGCACAGCTGCTGCCCAAATCTCTTTGCACAGAGCGTGTTTGTAGAGACTCACAACAGAAGTTTCCCATGGGTGGCTTTCTTCACAAACAGGTGAATTTTTGGAAGTTTAATGTTGTTCATTCAAGGCACTAGGGGAAAAAGCAGTGCTTAGTTATTAGGAAATAATTATGCTAAGGAGGGGCAGATGCTTAAATCATAGAATCGTTAAGGTTGGAAAAGACCCTTAAGATCATCAAGTCCAACCATTAACCTAACACTGCCAAGTCCACCACTAAACCATGTCCCTAAGCACCACATCTACACATCTTTTAAATACCTCCAGGGATGGAGACTCAACCACTTCTCTGGGCAGCCTGTTCCAGTCCCTGACTACTCTTCCAGTGAAGAAGTTTTTCCTGATATCCAACCTAAACCTCCCCTGGCGCAGCTTGAGGCCATTTCCTCTTGTCCTATCACTTGTTACTGAAACCATAAAACTCCCTTCTTATTGGTGACTTCTTATTGTGCACTAAAGACTGAAGAAATACAGCTGTTGATTATCACTAATGAGGATTTTTTCAGATTTGCACGGAAATGTAAAGTGAGGAAGCTTAATTTTGATGCATCTATTTCAGTGATAATCTTCTTCAGTGAAAAAATAGGTTTAACTTGGCCTGTTCATTTTGAAAGCCAAGATTCAGTGATCCCAGTGTTGTGTCTCAAGGAAGGGCCAGCAGATCTGGGTCCCACAGGGCAGGATTGGACCTTGCAGGGTCTTAAGGCTGAGACACTTTGTGGGCCAAACAAGCTGGCTCCAGGCCTTCTCCTCGCAGCTACCAAGAGAAGCAGTACTTTGTGTAGCCCACCATGTCCTGGGGAGGTGGCACTAGGATACTCAGAGGTAAAAACTTCCTCTGAAAGCAAAAGATGTGGGTCTTCCCTTAATGGATGACAGAAAGGGAGGTACAGAGAGCTGGTGCCAGTGAGACACAAGAAAGCGGCAGATAAACCCAGGAGGGGAAAGATTAATTGTATGGATGAAGCTAGCTGGTGCACGTGACAGCGGGAGTACGAGGTGAGAACTTAAAATAGAGAGGAGAGGATTCATTTCAGACAAACCGACCCCAGGGAACACTGATCCTCTGTGGAGCCTTGCAACCCTGGTCCATACTGACAGGGATGCTGTGGATTGCCCTGTGAGGAGGGCTTCCAAGAACTGTGAAGACAATGTTTTGAAATATGTCAGAAAAAAAGATTTTGTTTTAGCTAGGGTCTTTCTTGCTTAGGTACTAGGTAAAGAAGTGATTAGTGGGGACTGAGGCCAGTGGAGAGAGGTAATAGCAGTCAGCAGAAGACACTTAGGGAAGAAGATTGTGGAAGGAATGTTCACCTGGCTGGCCCTCCTGCTTTCTGGCAATCACCCTTTTACAACTTTTCTACATTAAGGACTGCATCCGGATCATTGAGCTTAATTGTGTATCTTCCATGAACTTGCCCAGTCACCTTTTTATTTGTTTTACAGTTCTGGCCTCCAGAACATCCTAAGGCAGAAAGTCCCAGGTTGCAATTACGTGCTGTTTGAAAAGTCCTCGTTTATTCTCAGCCTGCTGCCTGGTAATTCACTGGATGTTCCTTACATCATATCCAGTGAGAAATATCAGGCAATTACTCTCCTCTTTGTAATACTTATATTTTATTGTATTTTCCCTCAGTTGTCCCTCAGCATCTTAGTCTCAAGTATTTAATTTGGCATTCATTTTGGGCAATGAATTTCCTACCTTAGAAACGTCTTCTCTTTCGTGTACTGTCAGAGGGGCTGGTTCATGAGGAGCATGTATTTAATTCTAAGTCTTAGGCTTTCTGCATATAGAGAGTGCAATTGCATTAAAACGTAGCTTGTCAGACCAAAGATGATAGTCTTCATCACCAGTGTATCTAGAGATCTGTTCAAACCTCAATGATGCACTGTACATAGTAAAAATAACAAAACTGTCTGCGTTTTCATTTAGATGTATTCACTTACATGTTTTTTCCTTTTTTTTGTTTGATTTTTTTGTTTCCCAGAATTTGCCTCGAAGTTAGAGCAGGTTGTTTAGACTGTGACTCTATCGCACTGCTTGATAAAGTCTTTTCTCCTAGGTGTGGGTATTTGCACTCTCCCTATCTCTGGTAGGCAAAGCAGCATGCGTGTGCCAGAGACTCCTTATATCTCTTGGTTCTCTCCCAGCAAGCTGCCTGTGTGATGCTGCCTGCCCCCTACAATTTTGGGGTTTGCATGTGAGTCGTTGGTGACAAATTGTAAGCACAGTACTGTTTCACTTAGTTCAAACAAATTGACTGAGTGTTTTACTTTCTTAGGCATGTGAAAGCTGGAACTGAACTCACGTGGGATTATGGTTATGAAGCTGGAAGCATGCCAGAGACAGAGATTTCCTGCCAGTGTGGAGTTCAGAAGTGCAGGAAAAAAACCTTATAGGCAAAGCTTTCCTACTGTCAATGCATCATGTACCTGGAGATTTATATGCTGGAAGGGACTACTGCACGGCGAATAGTATACTTCAGTCTGTGGTGCTAATTACATGTAACTAAAATGCCTTTTACCTGATCATTTTTTAAATTTACATTTAAATGTTACTTTTGTAGTTTACAGGACTGGAACTGTTTGTCATAAGAACAGGCATCAGACTTTTCCTAGCTAATTTCTCTGCTCCTAGTCTTTTTTTTTTTCCCCCCTCTCTTTTCATTTGCAAGCAAAGTTCACAGTGCACTAGAAGAACTCATGCTTCTCTGCCATCTGCAGCAGAGACATGACTGATGCAGAGCGACAGTTAGTTGATGCTTTCTGTGCCCTTTCACAATGCTGAGTTAGCAAAACTCGGTTTTCTGAAACTCGTATGAATGCAAGTCTGCCTGTTTAGGGGCTAAGAATTATTAAAATGCACCGAAGCCTGGTGGATCCAGGGGGACAGATAGTCTTCAACAGTGATGAGATTAATCAGAACAGTGTGGAGAGCTGTGTTCATGCTACAAAGTGAGCAGGGCCAAGTCCTGCTGCTGCAGGAGAGGAATGACTGGGTTTTGTTGGATTGCATCCCTCCCCATGTTTGTGACACACAGAGAAATCCTTGAGAAATCCAGTGTGCCTCATTTCAGTGCCGTATTGTGTAGTGGGGGACAAGTGGGCCACAGAAGTCCTTGCCATGTGGTTTGTTGGCAGGAGAGAAACAAGCTACATTAGGTGACACTGAATGCAGATGCAGGAGGCGGCTCTGAAATGGAGCAAGGGATGGGTGTGCAGGTGTGTGGCTTTTGAATGTGTTGGAGCCTTGTGCAAAGAAGGTGGTGTTGTGGACGGGCCATTTAGACCGCTTGAAGAACCACTGCCGAAGGTATCAGCAAAAGTGGTTTTATTGAAGTAAGGTGTTGTAAAAGTGAGACTTAACAAAGTTCGACGGCAAGGTTCACTCTGTTACTTACTGCAGAGGATATAATAATGATTCAAACTTACCAATACAAAATCTTAGTGCACTATAATTCAAGGTCATGTGCAATATCGGTCACTCACCAAAGGTCTGCAGTTGGTAAGGGGTCTCTCAGCCTCAAGGAGTAACCTTGAGAGGTGTCCCAGTTCAAGGGGAGGTCACCGCTGTGCAGCCAGCTGCTTAGCAGGGAGAGCTCAAAGAAGGCTCACTCAGGCTTTCATATATATGGAATAAAGTGGTTGGCTCATAGTCAAATTACCTGCGATGGAAAAGATAAGCGTGAGACTCCTTGTACCCACGACTTTCTTTGTTCCTTGATAAATGAGTCTTGGAAGAACCACCGGCTATTCATGTGCTAATCGCATGATTGGTGTTCCAGTTTCTAAGCCCATATGCATCAATGCTCACCGTGTCGCCCTGTTCCTGTGTGGGTTTTCAGAGAACAGGTTGGAACTAGAGAAGTTTTTGGCCCAGTTATAGCCTAGGCCTTTGCTTCCTTGGGAGACTGAACCCAACTACTGCTAGTTTGGTCAAGGAGTTGAGTGCATCTGTCACACGTGGATTTAAAGCTGGTCCTGCCGTTCACCTTACCTGCACTTCCTGAATTTGTGGGAGGCCGTGCATGGCAGATCACGCAGAATTGTCTGTTGGTATTTGCTCGGCCATTAGCACATTTTGTCATTGGATTCCCTGTTTTGCAGAGCAGAGAGAAGGCAAGAGTTAGTGATGACTTAGGCAATTGTATATGGGAATGAAATATGCCTGTGAGAGACTGCCACAGCCATGGAATAGGGATTTCAAGCCTACAGCTATACTGCAAAATGAAAGAGAAGCAGGAACCAGTTCTCGGCCCTGAGGCCAAGAGGCAACAGATGGCTTACGTCCACATGGCTTAGGGTTAGTCATCTTTTAATTGGGTTGCATCTCAGCTCTGTAACTGTGGACAAACATGGTACCTGTGGCCCTAAGCTGAGTTTGTTTTGGATGCTTCAAGCTTAAAAAACATGGGGTTGTGCTGCAACAGACAGTGCTCTCACATTTCTCAGCAGTCTCAGCATGCATGAGGAGTTTAAGCCTGTTAAAAATGGACCTTTAACAGAGATATCAGACCTGTGAACTGTTCTGCTTACAATGAAACCTCAGCTCTTCTCTCCCATGGCCCTGTTTGACAGCTTGGCATACCCATCAAGCAAACCCCTCCTCAGCTTTTGTCCCAGTCGTCGCAGTACAGGTTTGTGTGTGGTTTCATCATGCATCTTCAGGGCTAAATGCAGAAGAGTGGGGTTACCCCCAATGTTGGTGCCGTACCCCTTCAGAGGGTCAGAACCACCCACTCTTGTCCTGATCAGTCCCCTTTCACCCCTCTGTCACTGAGGGGCACCACCATGTTAGCAGAAGTCAGCATTCAGCTCAGTTGCTTCTTGCTTCATTGAAGATCCGCCTCTACTCGGAGGGCACGTGCCTTAGGATAACATCATGCAATGTAAAAACCTGCAGACACATGCCAAACTGCACGGCAGGCCAACTGGTAAGCCTTTTAAACAAGTGAGGATGCAGAAAATATCTGTCTCCAAGCTCAACTTGAATGTGGAAAAGCAGATGAGAATGTCCTTAAAGCATCAAGGGGGAAAAAAGTACATTTTACTGCTGTTGATTGTATTTCCCAGATTAGTGGTAGGAGTAACGGTACTGAGCTGGTGAGGAAAAGCTCTGTTTCTTGCTGCAGAAAACAGACCTGATGTTTCAAAAGATAAAGCGCTTGCTTGCTCTGTGTGGTCTGCAACTATCCAAGAGCCTGCTGTCAGCATGGATTTTACAGTAGGTATGTGTATGAGATGGGGCTCTTTGGCTAGTTGTGTTTATCAGGTCTGTCTTCAGGCTGGTGCTTCTTCATTCTCCTCCTCTACGTGAGGATACACTAGATATAGCGGTTGCAACCCAGCTTCTAGTCCCCTCGCAGTCTGATGCTTTTACTGCTTGTGAATCCAACATACCAGACCAGAGATCATAACCTATCCTCTTGAAAACTTACCTCACAAGGTATGTTTTCCACCTGTTTTTGTGATTTTATTAGAATGGGTTCTGCTGAAGGTGGCTGGCAAGTATCCTCTGCAGATAATGGCTGTGCCAGTTCAATAGGCGTTGCGAGAGCGCTCATCTGAGCTTGCTCTCTGCTCAGCTATCAGTTCCTCCGCTTGCCCTTACACAGCTCAGAGATGGGCGGATTTCTGAACGTAGCCGCTCGTGCCACCCGTGCTTTAGCAGAGTATCATGCAAAAGCACCGAGCACAAGCACCGACGGAAGAATAGGTGGAAATGTTCGAAGTGAAACACTCAAAAGTGCCTGTGGAATGACACATTTGGGACTTCTTGTCAGCCTGTTAGGGGTATCAAAACAGAAGAAGAGTGCCTGACGGGAATTAGTCGCATGGAGACGTGAAGTAGAGCTTTGGAGATGCCCTGAAATCACAGTTTCTGTTGACCTGCAGGGGACCATAGGTTTTACAATGCTGATGGAGGACCAGCAGAGGGGAATTCTGAAACAAATTCAGGCTTTTTCAGGGTGGTACCTTGTTCCTGTGAAACGGTGTGGTCCAGCCATGCAGTGTGGATGTTGCTGACTCTTATGGCAAGCAGGATGGTAAGCAGGACTGTCCCAATGGAGGGACAGTAGGGATGTAAGGACATATAAGGGCTCCGTGACCTACAGGGAAATAAATATTAGCGCCGAAAGTGAGCATACAAATGCAAAGACAGTTCGAGATCACCTATGGCATAGGTATAAAAGAAACTGGTCTGGAGCACATTAAACTGATTTTTTTTTTTTTCTCCAAAAGATTACTGAGCACTAATTTCCAGCTTCACCTATTTCAGCAGAACTATACGGCTCTGCAGAGCAGAGGTTTGGAAGAAGAGATCACAAGGGACTTGCAATTGGTTTTCCTCCACGGAGAATTATTTTTTCTGTGTTGAAGAACAGATTTGTGTTAGGAAAATTTTCCTAGTTTATGATTTATGCATGTGTGAGGGCGCTTGAATCCAGCTGACTCATTCAAGTACCGTCTAGATAGTAGATTCGGGAATGGGTGTTGCGTAGCAGCATCTGGCTAATAGATGTAATCCAATTGCAAGCCTGGGCACAGGGGCTGACCTTAGCTCTGAAATGCTGCATCCGGGCAGGCGCAAAGGGATTTGGGAAACCAGTTGGAGTAACGCCAGCAGTGCTGAAAAGCTCTGTTCTAGCCGGTGAAGGGAAATGATCTTAAAAAGCTCCAGGTTGTGTTTGGCGTGGCCTCCCAACAGGCCAGAATGTGCCTGTTGTTAGGCTGTGGCTGGTGAGCTGTATGGGAGTGGAGGTGTAGGTTTTGTTTAATTATCCCACGCAATGCAGAGGAACTTCACATAGGCCTAAACCTTGGCCGCACCGGCATGGTTTTGCCTTAAGCCGTGAGTCGCTGATGTTCAAAGCGCTTGCAGAAACATCGCACCCGTGTGAAGCAGGACGAGGAGATCTCCCGGTGGTGGCTGTCGTGTTGAGACCTGCAGAGCGACCAGCTTCTCCCGGTGCCGCTTACGCTTTGTGGTGAGCTGGTGCGCGCTCGCCATCTCTTCACACGGGCAGCTGGAGGGGATCAGCATGAACCCTCAGGCGTACGAGTGAGGAGGGACCAGCAAAGCCCCGCAGCGAGGAGCCGGGGCCGTAGGAAGCCTCATATCCCTGGTCGCCTGAGGATAAGCCTGTCCTTGACCTCCTGACCAAGGAAAGTGCTGACCAGTGGCGCTGGGACGGTCCCGTCCTTCGTGTGCTGGCTGAGCGCCACGACGGACGGGTACGAGGCCAGCTTGCCGCAGCTGCCTCCTCCTCCACGGTGGAGGGACCGACTGAAGGAAGGGCCTGACGGCTGTGGGAGGCACTCCGCCTTGTGCCGGCCTTTCCTGCCCGTCTCTTGAATCGGGGGGCGATGGGAGGATACAAGATGTCTCCTTCCTCGCG